TAGGGAGGCTGTAAAGGAAGCACAAACACCAGGCAGGTTGATGTAGATCATTTCTAAGTTCCTCACAACCTTAATCTCTGTTATTCTACTCAACCCCAGAGAGATGGTGAATGAATTTCCTATTGCTGCTATAACAAATCACCACAAACCGAGAGGCTTGAAGCATCACAGATTTATCCTCTCACAGTTCTGGAGGTCAGAAGTCCACCCTGGGTCTCCCTCGGCAGATCTTGGCAGGGCTGCATTCCTTTCTGAAGTTCTAGGGGACAATCTTTCTCTTTGCCTTTTCCAGCTTCTAAACACTTCCTGCATTCCTTGGCTTGTGGCCTCTTCCTCCATCTTCAAAGCCAGCAGCACAGCATCTTCCAAATTCTCTCTCTCTCATACACTGTCCCCCGCCCCCCACATCTCACCCACCCACCTCCCCACAGCATTCCCCAACTCCTGGATGGAGCCACCGCCCAGGAGAGGTTCCTGAAGCACCAAGATTTCCACCATCACGCCATCACCCAGTGTGTCTCAATGAGTTAACTGCCCTCTTTACTCTCCTCCATGAGGACAGCATCTCCATCTCTACGGGTCACAGTTCTATCCCCTATTGTCCACCTCGGGCCTGACACGCAGTAGGCTCAATAAGTAAATATGTGTCCAGCAAACGAGTGAAGAATCCATTCAAAGAAAACAGCTGATTCCCAGCTGAGAAATATTCACCCACTTGTTAGCCCTGGTTGCTGGGCTCTCGCAGTATGGTGAGGTACCGCGCCATGACGGGCCCATGCTCCGTCTATGACACTATGGGGGATGGAGAAACCTTTGGGAGAAGACAAAGGCTTTAGTCTGTGGGAAGATTCCTGCCTGGATTTTTAACATTTGCATTCCTGATGGAGCAGCCTGATGCTGAAGGAGCCACAGAAGGGGGCCTGGGAAGGGGGCCTGGGAAGGGGGCTGCAGGGGGCAGGGGAAGTGGGCAGTGGCAAAGGAGACCTTTGCGAGCAGAACACACGCATGTCGGCCTCCTGAGACCTGCCTGCATCCAGGGCAGGGTCTCCCTGGCAGCCAGTGTGGGGCCGATTCGGGCTGCACCCTGTGGGTTTCTCAATAGGCTTGTGCCTCGCTCTGAGGAACAAGATGAACAATCATCCAGTTAATTCAGCAAAGCCTGCCTGAGCATCTGCTCTGCCCGGCTGCGTGCTGGGTGCTGACAAACCAAGATGAAAAAGGAGCGCCCAGTGGGTGAGGAAGACAGCTGAGATCCGGCTAGCTCAGCGTCTGGTGCTCAGCACGCAGGGAAAGCTTCCGATTTGCCCGGGAAGCCCATCGACAGCCCTACATGGTGTCCCGAGGAGGACAAGGCCGGGTCTCCCGCGAGACATTTCTCCCAACCTCACACACGCAGAGACCCCTGTTTTCCAGCACAGCAACGTCTCCTCCGTCTGAATGGTCCAGGGAACTGTTTTGCCGCACAGGCTTGTTTTTCTTCCCTGTCCTGAATTTGACGCTCCTTCGATGAACACGTCCAGAAGCCCTGGAGCCTTTCAAAGCAGACCTGGAGTCTCCTGCTGGGGCGGGCTCGACTCCCAGGGAGGCCCACAACCCGGGCACCGCCATGGAGGGAGCCAGGAGACTCCATCCAGAAGAAAAACACATCCAGGCTTGCTGCTTGCACCTCCAGACACACACAGTTCTGCCCCATCTGAGAGGGTGCCCAAGAGACGGTCCCCAGGCCATCCCGCTAAAGGTGTTAAGAGGACACACTCTCACCCACAAAACAGGAAGGCATGGCTGCGATCCCTGCCCAGGGCTTCAACACCAGAAAACTAGGTAAACAGAACGTCAGAGCTAGAAGGGACCTCCGCCACTGCCCAGGTCGGTGCTGCTCTGTTTACACACGGGGAACGGGCTCCAGGATCAGGAGGGGATTTCTCTGGGCAAACAGAGCTGGAGCAGCTGGAGCCAGGCTTTCATCCCTGTTGTTGACCTTCCATCCCGCCCCATGTCGAGGACACTGCGCTCCTTTCACCCAAACCTCTGGTCCTCATCCGCAGTTATTTTGTTCTGGGAACGTGATGCCTGCCCGGCCCCCACTCCTGCCCTCCCTTGCAGTGAGAGAGGCTCTGGAGACAGATAGACACGGGTCCAGAGCCCCGTTCCTGCCCTCATTAGCCTTGTGACCTCAGACAGTTTCGTATCCCCTGAGACCCTCAGTTTCCTCGTCTGGGAAATGGAAATGACCCCACCCACTTCACTGGCTTTCTGTGAGGCTCTTGGCATTTGTGACAACAGCAGGATATGGTTGCAGAAGCGTGGCAGAAGTGATGCTGAGTGTTAAGTAAGAACTTTCCTCTCCTTTGACAGCTCCTTCTCTTGGCTTGTTGCTTGGTCTTGGGCAGCCCGAGGGCCCAAACTCATTTCTGATGGCAAGAGTCCTGCTCCCCCCCAGTTCCACACTGGAGACCGGAAGGATGGAAAGAGGACAGGGCATGGAGTCGTCTTGGACCATTTGCCTCCAGCTTTGTGACCTTGGGCGAGTTGCTGGAACTCTCTGAGCCTCAATTTTCCATCTGGAAAATGGGACTGTTTTCTGCATGGCACCCACCTCTCGGGGACACTCATAGGAATGGAGACCTTCACATGAGCTCAGACAGTGATACCGGCTCAGTGTCTTTGATTCCTCACCGTGGTCTTGTGAGTGAGGTGCTCTTGTCACTCTCACTTCACACGTGAGAGGAAGGAAAGAGTTAAGAAACTTGCCCAAGGTCATTACCAGAAGTGGGTAACCATGTATAGCACCAAGCGAGCGAACATCTAAGGAGAGAGCTTACTCCTTTGACTGGTGCTTTTTCCAGGAGAGCTGCCTGCAGAACGTCGTCCCCAGAAGAGATGCACAGCGGGAGAACCAACGCTTCCCGAGGCTGGGCTCCATGCCGGGGCCTGTGCTGCGAGCTTGAAGACACTCACACCTCCGCCACCATGGGCACTAGCACGAGCCCATCTTCCAGATGCAGAGGGCAAGTGACCACCCAAGGTTCCCCTGGTTGGTCGGGGGTCGGTGGACCCTGACACCCAGGCTGCCTGACCCCAAGCCCTGATCATTGATGCTCCCCCAATCCATCACTTCTGGCCCCTTTCCTTCTCCCAGTTCTGCTCCAGGAGATCAGCCAGTTTTACAAAACGGTCCCCATTCTAACTGAGGGGCCTGACTGCGCACCGCTGTCTCTGACCAAACCTCGCGCTCATCTATCCTTGTCTTCCGCTTGTCCTCCACCCCCTCATCTGCCAGTCCTGCCAATTCAGGAAATGCCCCTGCCGAGAGAGAAGCTTCTATTGAAAGTGTGCAAGAGGAGGACCCTGCTTCCCTTCCAGGTGTCCCACACACCCCCCATGCAGCCCCTCCTCTCAAAACGGGGGGGCCTTCGGGTCTGAAAGGCTCCAGTGTCCCCAGCCTGCTGGGTGGGCGTGCTCCACAGTCTTGGCTGGGCCCCACAGGAAATGGAGGCGTGGAGGACCACCCCCAGGCAGCTGCTTAAAGGGGTGGCCAGCCTGGGGCTGCAGCCAGGCCACCTTTGCAGGATGGCGCCCCAGCTGCTGCCCCTGCTGCTGCTGCTCCTGGCCGGGCCCCCTGCTGCAAGGCCCGCTCCCCCGACCTGCTACTCTAGGATGCTGACCCTGAGCCGGGAGATCACCGCTGACTTCCAGAGCCTGCAGGCCACAGAGCCCGCGGTGAGTGCCCCGCAGCCCGCCTGCAGACCAGAAGGTTCTACGCAGACCCCCTTCTTGAAAACCTGCCTTTGGATCAGGAACAGAATGCTGTTTTTCTTTTCTGTTAATCTTCTTTACTGTTAATCTCAAAGATATTTGTGCTTTATTCCCATGCTATTAAATATGGTACCGATGGTTTGCACTTGCTTTTAAATCCAAGGAGAAGTAATTAAAGACATCACAATTTTTGTTTTAACTGGCTAGCAGATATCAAAAGATCTGTTGTAAAGTGTAAAAAAAGAAAAGAAAAAAGTTGCCCATAGAGTCTAGAACTCTAGTCTTAAGGAGGACCAAAGAATGAGGCTCATTTATTCTCTGCACTAGCCCACGTGCCCTGAGGGGCTGACTCCCAGAACTGGGCTCCACCCCGTACCTACCTGCCGTAGGACCCTGGGCACATTCCTCAGCCTGAATCTGTGTCCCCAGCTGTGGAGGGACATAGCAGAGCTTCAGGCGGCCGAGAGGGTTCAAGGAGTGAATGCAGACACAGCGCAGGGCAGAGCCTGCCAGGGGATGCGTGGCTGTTCGCACCACCGTTTCAGGAGGAAGACCTGGGGCTCAGAGAGGGGAGTCCCAGAGGGGCGGCTCGCACGAGACTGGGCCTCCTGACTGCTCATCCAGCGTAGCAACAAAGTGAATTTAGGAAAGAAGGGAATTAAACTTCATTCAAAGCTTTGGTAACATTTAAAAGTGTCTCTTTACCACTTGCAAACAGTTCAAACAAAATGTGGTGTTTCCCAGACATGGGGTTTATGATACCCTAACACCCTCTTTGAATTTTCTTTTGTAAAAGTTAAATGATGTGTATTTTTTTTCTAATTGTAAAAGTCGTATACTTTTGTAGCATGGTTGGAAAATGCACAAAGAACAAAGAAGAAAATAAAAGTTACTTGCAATTCTGCCACCTAGAGGGAAAAGCTGCCATAACACTCTGGAGGGCGGTATGTCAGCTTTCGGTCTATGCAGGGGCATCTGTGCGGTGCTTGCGCGCGCGTCTGTGTAAACAAATTGGATCGAACAGCACAGCAGCTTTGCAATTTTCTTTTTAATGACACCATCAAATAAGGTAAAATTCTTTTGTAACGACATTTTGTTGCATAATTGCACCACGATTTACCCATGAATTCCTGGTTATTACATTTGCAGAGCAATCGTCTTTTAAAGGAATCTGATTTTAAAATGCAAAAAGAAGTTCACAGGCTCAGAGCTAGCTGCACAGCTGGAGGGAGAAGTTAGGTGTTCTCATTCTTTAATCTCACAACTGGGAAACTGAGTCACATAGAAGAAGGACGCCTGCCCAGGGCACACTGGGAATTACTGATGGGTAATTACTGTTAGGGCAGGACCAGCAGCTGGATCTTCTGGCGTTCAGTCCTGCACAGAAGCAAAAGCAAATAGAGTAATAGAAAAGCCCACACATCCATGCACTTTTCTGTTACTATAGTATATATTGTATATATGTTACTATTTGTAGACTACAGTTATAGAACTGTTTAAATATACATACACATACATGAGTACGTGTGTGTCCATATGTCTGACAGTTCCGTGACTCACAGTAAATGATGTGAAGGTTGCACTCGAAAAGTCCAATTCTGGAAGAGCAGTTTCCCATTTTTGGAGGGATGTAGCATATGGTATAAGAAGGTACTGTGCAGGTCAGCACCAAGGAAAGATCTGAGGCTCGTCTGGCTGTTGGAGGGCTGGCAGAGAGCCTTCTGTCCCCGGGTTGAGGGTGTGTCCCTGTGGCCATCACAGCAACCCATATCCCTTCCTGCAGGAGCCGTGTGTGAGATACCTGCCCAGGCTGTACCTGGACATACACGTAAGAGGGGTCTCCCTGCCCGGGTGGGGGCGGCATGGAGGTGGGAGGGATCCTGTGCAGCGGCATGCAGGGGCCCCCAGCTCCCGTCCCCCTGGCTGCTGACGATTCCCACAAGACCCCTCCCTGCTGTCGCTCCCAGAATTACTGTGTGCTGGCCAAGCTCCGGGATTTCGCGGGCTCGCCCCAGTGTTGGCGAGTGGCCCAGGTGGATGCCTTGAAGGACAAAGTACGGAAACTGTACACCATCATGAACTCGTTCTGCAGGAGAGTGAGTGACGCCATGAAAAATTCTCTTTCTACTTGTTATTAGCGGAGACCTTCAAAGCTTTTAGAAGAGGAGGGCTCGGGATGGGGGTGGGAAGGAGGTGAGGTCTGGAGCTGTTACTCTTGGTGTCCCCAATGCCTGGTCCAGAGTTGTCACTCCGTAATTAAGGATGCAATCATTCACTCCCTGACGCGTCTATCCATCTATTCATCTGCTCAACCACTGTGTGAGTGAATTCAATAAATAATAAAAGAATATATGAGATTCAGTGGGAATGTGAAGAAAGATGTGAGCAGCTCTCCTTGGGAGAGTAAGGGCTGGGACGTTTCCACACACAGGGGAGTAATTGAAGAGTCTTTAGGATAACCAAGAGTCCTATCGTTGTGCATGGGCTCTGCGGCCACCTTCAGTAACATTCCTGCCCATTGCACGTCTTTTTCAGGATTTGGTCTTCCTGTCGGATGACTGCAATGCCTTGGAATACCCAATCCCAGTGACCACGGTCCTGCCAGGTCACCAGAGCTAAGGCAGCCCCCACCAGAGAGAGACCCCCAGGAGCTGAAGTTACGTCGGCTGCCCAGACACACCGGGCTAACGCCATGGCCCCACAGGTCTCCCTGTTCCTGTAGCATCTGAAACTGTCACGTGTGTCTCCTCCTTCCGGAGAGCAGGGTTTGTGTCCCCCACCCTGGAACCTACTTTGAACAGAGTTAGAAGCCTTGCCTCTCATTCCCTTGGTTTTGTCCTGCCAGGATGGTTAGATACATGAGCACATTTATTTGGTTGCTAAGAAGAAAAGGGCAAACCAGCTTCTCTTTTATGAACAACTAGCTTGAGAACAAGCAAAATAGCATGTTTGTAGTACAGCTTGAATGGAGTCATGGAACCATTTTTCTTTCTTGTTAGGAACCTGCTTACATTTAACAAAGCTTCTATTTTATACTTTCTCCCACCACAAACTTTCCTTATAGTACTCTATCATTTTTAGAGAAATTTTACTGCCTATAAAATGTATTTGCAAGGTTCATAATTATGTAGTGCTGATGGGAACTTTCATTGAAAGGTGATAAAAATCAAATAAAGACTATCTTTACAGTAAGAAACATGTGTCCTGCTGTTTGTCCAAGGTGGACGTCAGCATGTTTATTCCATGCTGTTTCTGAAAGTTGCTGCTCTGAGCAAGATGCATCTTTCTCCCGTTTCCCATGAAGAACAGGTGTCTCTGGGTCTGCTTCAATCCGCCTGTGTGAATGTCCATCCTCAAAGCACTGGGAGATGCTCTGACTTACATTTAGGGACGGACATGCATTCTACCCATGGCAGTACAGTATCTGGCACTTACCGCAAACATCAGTTCACTGAGTCCTCATGGCAAACCTGGAGACCGGCATCCTAGGAAGCTGAGGCTCGTGTAGATTAAGAAACTTGCCCCAAGTCACCAGCTGGTAAGTGGAGGAGCCTACATTGAGCTCCAGGGCTCCAAAGCCACGATCTTCCCAGTGCACCCTCGCTGGCTCTCTGCAGGTGAAGCAGGCTTGTTTAATTAATTCACAAACCCAATGATAAAATCTCAGAAAAGTAATTGAATGTTTGAAAAATATTCCAAATGCTAATCCTCTTTTAAATTCACGTGTTACCCTGGGATCTTTCTGTCTCCTTTGCCCACTTCTGCACAGATGGTCCCTGCTTTTCCTCACTAGTCTTAGATGCCTCTGACTTCTCAGACGATTTATGAGAATGATTGATTAGGTTGTTATTGTCTATTTAGAGCCACTAGACCACAGCAGCACCGCCTTGCCTTCCGAGGGCCGCCATAACAAAGGACCACAACCTGGGCGGCTTGAAATGAGAGAGATTTCTTGTCTCGTAGTCTGGAGGCTGGAAACTCTGAAATCTGAGTGCTGGCAGGGTCCTCCTCTCGCCGAGGCTTTAGGAGAGAACCTCCTTGTCTCCTGCTGGCTTCTGGTGGCTCCTGGCAATCCTTGGCTTATAGACACATTGATTCAATCTTGCCCTCATCAACACATGGTGTTCTTCCTCTATCTGTGTCTCTCTGTCCAAAATTCCCTCTTTTTGCAGTAAAATTTGCAGCTGACATGATCTTATATCGAGAAAACCCTAAAGACTACACAAAAAACACCCTGTTAGAATTAATAAACAAATTCAGTAAAGTTATAGGACACAAAATCAATATACAAAAATCAGTCGTATTCCTACACGCTAACAACAAACTATCAGAAAAAGAAATTAAGAAAACAATCCCATTTACAATAGTATCGAAAAGAATAAAATACATAGGAATTAATTTAACCAAAGAAGTAAAAGCCATGTACACTGAAAACTAAGTGACACTGATGGAAGAAATTGAGGAAGACACAAATAAATGGAGAGCTATCTCGTGTTCACAGACGAAAAGAATATTGTTAAAATGTGCATATTACCCAAAGGGACCTACAGAGTCAGTACGATCTCTATCAAAATTCCACTGGCATTTTTCACAGAATTACAAAAAAGCAATCCTAAAATTCATATGGAACCTCAAAAGACCCCAAACAGCCAAAGCAATCTTGAGAGCAAAGAGCAAAGCTGGAGGCATCACACTCCCTGGTTTCAAACTATATTGCAAAGCCACAGTAATTAAAAACAGTATGGTGCTGGCATATAGATCAGATGGAACAGACAGAGACCCCAGATATAAACCCACACATAGACAGTCAACCAACTTTAACAAAGGCACCAAAACATACAACAGGGAAAGGACAGTCTCTTCAATAAATGATGCTGGCAAAACTGGACAGCCACGTGCAAAAAATGAAACTACACCCCTATCTCACACCGCTCCAAAGAACTAACTCAAAATGGATTAAAGGCTTAAATGTAAGACCTGAAACCGTAAAACGACCAGGAGAAAACATAGGGGAAAAGCTCCTTGACATTGGTCTTAACAATGCACAGGCAACAAAAGCAAAAATAAATGGGATTACATCAAATTCAAAAGCTTCTGCACAGCAAAGGAAACATCAACAAAATGAAAAGGCAACTTACCGAATGGCGGAAAATATTTGCAAGCCGTAAATCTGATAAGGGGTTAATATCCAAAGCATATGAAGAAGTTTTGCAGCTTGATAGCAAAAAATCCCAAATAGTCCAATTAAAAAATGCACAAAGGACCTGAATAAACGTTTTTCTGTAGAAGACACACAAATGGCCAGCAGGTACAGGAAAAGGTTCTCAGTATGGCTAATTATGAGGGAAATGCAAATCAAAACCACCATGAATCATCACCTCACACCTGTTAGGATGGCTTTCATCAGAAAGACAACAGATCACAGGTTTTGGCGAGGATGTGAGGAAAAGGGAATCCTTGTGCACTGTTGGTAGGAATAGAAATTGGTGCAGCCACTGTGGAAGATAATATGGAGGTGCTTCAAAAAATTGAAAATAGAACTACCACATGATCCAGCAATCCCATTTCTGGATATATATCTGAAAGAAACAAAATCAATATCTCAAAGAGCTAGCTGCACCCCCATGTCCACTGCAGCATTATTCACAATAGCCGAGATACGGAAACAACCTAACAGTCCCTTGATGGATACATGAATGGAGAAGGTGATTTATCTAACTATCTATCTATGTATACGCACACACACAATGGAATACTATGCAGCTATGAGAAAGAAGGAAATCTTTCCATTTGCAATAAGGTGGATGAACCTATAGGACATTATGCTAAATGAAATGAGCCAGACAGAGAAAGACAAATATTGTATGATCTCACTCATATGTGGAATCTAAAACATAAAAATAAAAAGTTGAACTCATAGAAACAGAGAGTAGAATGGTGGCTACCAGGCGCTGCAGGGCTGGGGAAGACGGAGAGAGGCTGGTCAAAGGGTCCAAGCCTCCAGTCAGGAGGTGAACAAGACCCGAGGCTCTAAAGCGCGGCACGGTGACCACGGCTACCAGGACTGTGTTGTGTGCTTGACATTTGCCAGGAGTGTAGACCCTAAGTGTTCTCGCCACACACACACACACAAAGTAGCTATGTGAGGTGATGGCTATGTTAATTTAACTGGATTGCGGTAGTCATTTCGCAAATTATAACCTATGTCAAGTCACTACATTGTATAGTTTAAAAATGTACAATTTTATTTGTCAATTACACCTCAACAAAGCTGAAAAAACAAGACAAAAGAAACACAATTTCCTCTTCGTGTAAAGACACCAATTATTGGATTAGAGCCCGGTCTACCGAAGGTGACCTCATCTTAATTTGATAACAAAGACCCTAATTCCAAATAAGCTCACATTCCCAGGCATATGGGGTTAGGACCTCAACATATCTTCTTGGAAGACAAAATTCAACCCACAGTGATCATCCTTTCAAGAGACAACCCCTTCACAAGGAAAATCATGCAACAAACTAAGTCTTTGTTACCACCACCCCCATCCACCACCTCCTGCTGGAGACAAACTGTGGAGGGGCCGGCGGCACGTCACACACCGGCCCGCTGAACCTTCACAACACTGTGGCCGGGTGGGTGTCGGCAACCCTGAGTAACAGCGCAGGCAACACACTAGGCTTAAAGGTAAGTGATTTCCCCAGACAGCAGATAAGTGGTAGCAAGGGATTCCAGACAAAAGGCAAGGGCTAGAAGTCTTCATTTCGTGGCTCTCTAACCCTCTGCTATTTCTAGGTAGCAAAACAAACCAGTGAAGACGAGAACAAATTTACTCATTTCAGGCATTTGTTTATTTCTTCACTGTTTACTGAGTGCTTATTATGAACTCGGCAAATACTGAGATGAAAAGCAAAGAATATTTCCTCTTAGGTTAGCAGAGGAGACATTTGCAAAATGGAGGAGACAGCAGAGGAAGGAGCGAGTAATTCTGCCTGAGATGGGGCAGAAGAGTTTCTTAGAGGACTGGGCATTTGAACAAGGTCTTGAAATAGGACTGGAAACTTGGTAAGCTGAAAAGGGGTGGAAGCAGAAGACACAACGTAGCCAAAGGCACGGAGACTCCTGGTGGAGACCGGTGGTTTAACACTAACATGTGGTTGGGAGCTCAGGAGCGGAGCTGAAAATGCAGCGGGATGGGGTGTAAACAATGGTAGTTGTGGTAAGGCTTGCCAGGGACACTTGGGCAAAGTGTCTCTGTTCCGACACCAGCTGTGTAACCAGGTCAAACAAAGGAGAATCTCTTGTTAGGAAGAAAGATTGGGAGCCAATGGTTGGACGTTGTCAGGTCCCAAAGGGGTCCCTTTGCTTTGGATTTCAAAGACGACAAATAAGGACATTGCTCCTCCCCATGAGTACCAGCCCATTGCCAAGCCAGATGTCTGGGGATCATCCTGGACTCCTTCTCCATCTTTATCCATCGCCAACTGGTCAACCCTACCTTCTCTGCATCTCTCGACTTCTCCATTTGCTCTTTACCACCTCGCCATTAGTTCAGAAGCTTCACAGAACGTGACATCCAGCCTTTGCTCAGAACTCAATCCTCGGATGGGCCTCACCTCACCATTAGCTCTCCCGAGTGAGAGTCTGGCCATCCCTGGTCCTTCTCCCCTGAGGCTTCCCCATCAGAAGGGGATTTCTTTTTTCTCATGGGCTTGTTAAGTGTTAGAGCCTATGTCCTATTTCTTCAACTCATTTAACTCACCTAGGACACAAAGCAGAGCCACTCATTAGCTGTGTGTCAGTGGGCAATATACGTACCTCTTTGTGCCTCGGTTTCCTCATCTGTAAAATGGGGGTGATAATAACAAAATTTCATAGTTTTGTTTGTGGGATAATACAGATTTACACGTTTAAAGCACTTACAACGTCTGGACCCTAGTAAGAGTTCTGATTAGTTCTAATTAGCTCCAAGAGCAGCAAAAGCAAATACAGTAGCTGCTTAAGAACTTATGAACTTTTAAAAAGCTTTTAAAAACTTATAGACTTTGGTTCATCAGAGTGCTGCAGTACAAAAGTCTGTAGACTCCCTCTTCCAAGATAAAATCACCATGTAAGATAAATCCTTCTCCTCACCTCCCCCGGGACCCCAGCAATGGCTCCCCAACCTGAGTCCTGACTTCCTCCCAGTCCGCCCCCACCCAGAGCCAGACGGATGTTGCTAAAGGGGAGAACTGCTTCCCATGCCCCTCTGCCTGATGCCCCCAGGGCGCCTCATAAGGCTCCCCTGGTCTGGCCTTGGCCGTCTCTGATCTCACCCATTGCTGTTTCACCCCACACCATGTCCCACATATACACGCATACCCATTTCTGTAGGCATTTCATCTCAGTATTTCCTAAATACTGCAAATCTTCTCAGATCTCCTTGTCTAAGCACATGCCGGGCTGTCTCCCCCCCCCCCCGACCCTCCCCCCTGAAAACTGCACAATTCTTCCATCTGCTCAAGTGTAACTTGTCCTCTGAGACCATCGCTGAGTCCCCTAGAGAACGACACTGTCTTTTCTGGTCTACGTTCTCTCTTATCATTAGACTTTTACATTCATCATCATCACACTTGAGCCGGTCAGTCACCTCCTCCTCCTTGACACACTTTCTTTACTTGGAGCCCCGGACCCCTCGGATTCTCTCCCACCTCACTGGTCCCCCTTCTCAGTCCCCTGCTGGTTCCTCCTCGTCTCCTCATTTCTCGGCGCTGCTGCGATCCAGGCTCGCCCCTCGCTCCTCTGCTGTCCTCTGCCTGAACTCACTCTTGGTGATGCCGTTAGTCTCGTGTCTTTAGATACCAGGCGTCCTTGTGCCCAGACAAAGAAGCTGGCAGTCAAATTTGACTCCCCCCTTTCTCACATCATCTACATGCAATGCATCAAAAAATCCTGTTCTCTCTAACTTCAAAAGATACCCAGAATCTGACCACCTTTTACTGCTTCCACCACTGCCAACCTCGTCCAAGGGCTCTCACATTTGTTTCCCCAGATTTCTGCAAGACCTTCCTGAACGGCGTCTCTGCTTCTGCCCTTGCCCTGATACAGCTTACTCTCAGCGCATCCACGAGAGTGTCCATTAAAATGGAAGTCGTCTCACCTCCCTCCTCGGCTCAAGACCCTTCAGTGGCTCGCATTTCACTCAGAGTACAAGCCAAGGTCCTCACAGTGGTCTCAAGGTCCTTCGTCATCTGCCCCCACTCCTCTGGTTGCCTCCCTGACCTTCTACCTTCTACCTGAGTGATCTGGAGCAAATTACTTGCTGTCTTTCCATTTCCCCTCACTTTCCCAGTCTCAGGAGGAGAATAGTAACAGTCCTGTCCCCAGAAAGTTGTGGTGAGGAGTCAGTAAAGAAAGTCACGTAAATTGCTGAGCGCAGACCCGACACTCAGCAAACAATAACGTTAGCCACTGCTACTGTCATTCTTATCTTCATCCTGATCATCATCATCATCAAATCTTGATGCGGGGGCGGGGGGGAGCAGGTATGGATTCAAACTGTGGAGCATTTCTCATTTCAGATTGAGGTACCCTCTGATTCTCTGTGACTTCCCACTATTTACTGCCCCCAACCCATTGTCCTTGCACTCCCCGGATGACCAAATCTGAGTAGGTACCACACTGGCTTACAATCCTTCCGTGGCTCCCCATTGCCCTCAGGATAAAATCTGAGTTTTCTCACCTCCTGTTCGTTCCTTGTACGCTGCAGTCTGACTTCTGACCCTGCCACGCCCACCGAGCTGCTCTTGTAAAAACCATCCGTGTGCTCCATGCGGTCCCATCCGCAGCGCCTTTTCTGCCTTCATCCTCACTGACCCTGAGTCTCTCTGGACTCGGTGCCCACGCTCTCCTGGCTCCGTGCTTTCCTCCTGTCTGCTCGGTCTCCTTCTTCCTTGCTGACTCCTCCCACCTCTGAATGCTGCTGTGCCCCAGCATTTCGTCCTGGACCAGCGCTTCTCCCCTCTCCATACTCCCTCCCCTGTCCTCCTCGGCTGCTGCAACTTTATCTCCATGTTTATGACACCAAATCCACGCCTTCTGCTCAGACTCCCCCAGGAGGCTCAGGCTAATTTTCCAACCACCTGTCATCCTTCATCCCCCTGGCTGTGTCCCAAGTGTCTCAGAATTAACTTGTCTAAAGTCAGCGCGTCTCTTCTCACCCGTTGGTGTTTCCTGTCTCTGTACAATGCACCATTTGCTCCCAACAAAACGTGGGCTTCTATTTCTTGATTTCTTTTTCTCACTCCCTCCCATCTTTACAATTAATGAGCAAGTCCTCTACTTCTTGCCTCCAAAGCATGTATTGAACATGATGGTTAATTTTGTGTGTCAGCTTGGCCGGGCCATGGGTGCCCAGAGATTTGGTTCACGTGATTCTGGGCGCATCTGTGAGGATGTTTCTGGATGAGGTTAACATGTGAGTCAGCAGAATGAGTAAAGCAGTTGCCCTCCCCAGTGTGGGTGGGCCTCATCCAATCTGTTGGAGGCCTGAATAAAACAAAAGGCTGAGGGAGAGAGAATTTCTTCTCTCTGCCTGACTGCTAAGCTGGGCCATCCGGTTTCTCCTGCCGTCAGAGCAGGACTTACACCGTTGGCGCCGCTGACGTCATGTCTCCTGTTGGTTCTGGGAACCCTGACTAATATGTTGAACCCTCTTTTCTCCATACCTGATGCCAATCTCCTGGGCAAGGTCATCGCGACCTCTTGCCTGGGCTGACTGCGGGCTCTCAGCCTTCACTCTTGCCTCCTGCCATCCAGCTCCCACACAGCAGCCAGAATAATCTGTTGTAAAACATCAATTAGATCCTGCCTTCCCCTGTTGAAAAGCTCCTTGTGGTTTCCCACTCTGAATGAAATTTGACCTTCTCCCATTGGTCTACAAAGCCCTTATCTGCCACTACCACCATTGTTCTCTGTAAGGGATGCAATGATGCTACAGGACTTGATCGTACACTCATTTTTTGCTTACTTGTTTATTCTTTGTCCCTCCCACTAGACTATAGGCTCCAGGAAGACAGGGACCCTGTTGTTTGTCTCTCCATTTTATCCCCTACAACTAGCACCATGCTTGTCACTTAGCAGATGCTTGAATGAGTATATTTTGGATGTTTATGGATGCTGGATACCGCTTACCAGGAAGAACAAGGAAAGCCAACTGTTAGGATCTTGCTGTTTCCAGGTGGCCCAGGCCCATTCTTTCTTCATAAAATACAGGCTATTTTCACGCAGTCATATACTCATAGCCTCAGAGGCCTCGTTCCTCTTTTCAGGAACTGCTGATTCTTGCTGGTTTGGTCAACTTCAACACCTCGCTAACTCACACACACACACACACACACACACAGAGGCACGCACAGACCCACACCTTGTGGGCGTCCGTTCTCACAGTGCTCTGACCAAGCTCTTCCGTGAAGCCTGACCGTCCAGGCCGTGGCCAGCAGCAGAGACCCGAACAGAACCCAGTCTTTCTCCCCTGTGTACATCCAAAAGCTTACTCCTCGGTTTTGGCTGTCTCGATGCTCTCTCACTGCTGGGAACAGCATCGCACTTTCACACCCAGGGGCGACTTACACCAACCCACAATGATTAGGCAAAAAGCCTCATGGTTTAAGCCTAGCTGATTTGCAAATGCGTTAACAACATGAAATCGCCTTCTGCTTTGGCAGAATATTCAGGTCTGTACATTGTCAGATCAAGAAGTCACAGGATAGAGGAAGAGACTGTCCTGAAATCGATTAAGTGTCAGAGGAGAAGAAGGAAAAAATATAAAAATAGAGCAGAATTATGCAGAAAATGGCCAGGTCAGCCGTCATAACTTAGGTTCACGTTCCTTCATGGTGAAGGCATCCCGGGAATTATTGGGACACTGGATATACGCTTCTCAAACATTTGCAGTCAAGTTCCTGAAATGCAGCTTGACTTATATTTCAAGAATTTTCTGGCTGCCACACAAAGACGACGGAACTTGCTCTGGGGTTATTGCTTTTTTCCTTTTTTTGTGAGGAAGATTGGCCCTGAGTTAACCTCTGTGCCCATCTTCCTCTATTTTGTATGTGGGATGACGCCACAGCATGGCATGATGAGCACTGTGTAGGTCCACACCCAGGATCCAACCCAGGAAACCCCAGGCCGCCGAAGTGCAACAGGCGAACTTAACCACTGCACCACCAGGCCGGCCTCGCCTATTAATTCATTTCGTCTTGATCCCAGGGCTCCAGTGCCAACCCAGCTCAAGATGCTATGAAATCAGAAGATGCTCCCAGTTCAGAAGATGGGCACAGATCGTTGTCACTATCGTAGCCATGGGCGCCCTCCCTCTGGCCTGGGCAGTTCCACAGACAAGCTGAGTGTGGAAATCACTGGGCTCTAGAGGGGAAGGCCCCGAGGCTGTGCTCTGACATCGTCAATTGGTGCTTCAAGGTCCTCTTAATTTATTGACGATGACGCCTTCTTAAGCCTGTAGAGAACCTTGCAACTTACAAAATGTTTTCCTGTCTGTTTTTCCCTTTGTTAACTTTAGTTCTCATGCCAACATTGGAGAAGGCGTGGATTAGGACAGTTTATCTCTATTTACCCAGATTTAAAAGTGAAGCCTGATTAAGTATTCTTTTACACCTACAAATATGACTAAAATTTTAAAATCTGCCACTATCAAGTGCTGGTGAGGACCCGAGGCAGCTGCCGCACTGCTGGTGGTGTGGGCACCTGCAACAAGGATTTGATGTTACCTCGTCAATGTGCAGATGCGTCAACCCCACAGCCCAGCAGTTTTGCCCCTAGAATAGCCCTGGAGAAATTCCCGCACATCTGCCTCCGCAAGTGTGTCTAAGGATGTTCGTGACAGAATGTTCACATTAGCAAACGACTGGAAACAGCCCCAACATCCGTGAAGGATAGCATGGGCAAGCAAGCTGTTGTGGAGTCATAATGATGACAGTTACTGCATCATAATGACCTGTGATAATACGGCTGCATCTCAGATACACAACGCTGAGGAGCAGAAGGAGACACATAGAATGATTCCAGCTATGTAAAGAACAAACACAGGCAAAGCATGTTTGGGGGGATAGAAACATACGGGAAAAAGCTTTAAAGAAGTTCAAGAAAGTGCTTAAAACGAAATTCAGGGCAGAAGCTAGCCCCCTGACGAACAGGGGAAGAGGGTGGAAGGAGGAGGGTAGACATGGGACTTTGAAAATAATAGTGTGCTCATTCTTCAACTGACTGATGGGCGCCCAATGGTTCTATATTTTCTCCTCTTTATAAAAATGTATATTATTATTTAGTTAATATTTAAAAAATAAAAATGAATAACATTCACATAAAACATGAAAACTAATTGGAGAACGCAATTTAAAAACCAATCCCATTTATAACAGCAGCAAAAACTACAAGGCACCTGGGAATAAATATAGGAAAATATATATACAAACATGGAGAAAATTATAAAGCTTCATTAAAGGACATAAAAGAATGTCCTACATAAATAAAGAGATAAGCTATGTTTACAAATCTCAGATTAACATAAATTCAGTATACCCAGTGAACATCCCAACAGGATGATCTTGATATGCTGAGCCTAAAGTTCATAGAAAAATATAAAAGATCAATAAATTTTGGAAAAGAAAAATGAGAGGAGGAGAATTTCCCTAGTAGGTATCGTGATTTGTTATAAAGTTATAGAAATCAATATGCCGTGATATTTATGCCGAGATGAAAAATAACCAATGAAACAGAATAGAGAGCCCAGAAATAGACCCACGGAAATTTGGTAAATGGCTGAGAAATGATGAGTCAGTGGGAAAATAACAGACAGTGTAACAAATGGCGCTGGGACAGTAGGCTGTCCACTTAGAAAAAATGGAAATTTGATCTGTTCCTTATGCCACACACAAAGATAAATTCAAGAGGGATGACAGACTTAGTAAGTAAAGCGATATTTTCAAATACGTATTTAGAAGAACACGTGGCAGAATACCTTTATGTTATTAGGATAAGGAAAGAATTCTTGCACAAGATCCGAAGAGAGCACCCTGTAAAGAAAAACGTGGATAAACACAGCACAAGACTTTAAAAGACACAAGAAACAAAGCTAAAGAAAAGCTCTATAGATTGGAAAAATGGTGCATTAACTGACAACTATTCTTGTCCAAATCGCCTACAAGTCAAGGGGAAGGAGGGGGCAAAGTGGATATGATGTGGACTGCGCGACCTGAAGGGGAATCCAAACGGCCGTGTGATACGTGAAGTGACGTTGAACCTTCCTGGCAGCCAGAGAGAGGCCGGTAAAGCAACACTGTGGCCCCATCTTACACCCATCAAACGGGAACAAAATAAAGTGTCACAACACCAACTGTTCGGGCAGAGAGGGAGAAGTGGGCACTCTCAGCCACCACTTTCAGAAACGTAAACTGACCCACATTTTTTAAAGAGCAACTTCATATTTGGTGAAGCTATTTCACTCCTGGGGGTATATCTCAGGGATACGCTCGCAAGGAGACGAGAACAGGTGTGTTCATTCTGCCTCATTAGTGGCTATAATGAAAAAAAGAAAAAGAAACATCCTCAGAGTCTCTTAGAAAAATGAGTAAACTCTGATATATTCATTCCACGAAATATGACACAGCAGTCAAAGTGATGAACCAGATGTCGTGACTCAAGGTGGATTGATCTCAAAAGCCATTGTCTAATGAGAAAACAAGTTGCAGAAGCATGCTTACGTCCTTACGATATTTGTACATCTTTAAGACTTTCAAAAACTCCTCAGAAGCCTCGGAAATGGGCTGGAAACACATCACATTCATGAGACTAGTTGCTTCTGTTTTCCGGATCTGGAAAGCGGGCTCCATGGTGCTTATTTATCTTTCTCTGCCTTTTTTCAGTATGTTTCAAATATTCCAGAATTTAAAATGTGAAAAGAACCATTTTACTCATTGGAATAACTGAAATGACTTCCAGTAAGTGATACAATTATTGTTCCATTATTATCATTTCCCCTCTTTTCTAACATAAAGTACCATGTCTTACTGCAAAGAGCAGAGCTGAACTTGCCTATTTAACACAGAACCAGAGAGAGCTGTTGAGACAAAGTGATACTCAGAGAGGTTCAGTGACTTGCCAAAGGTAACCCAGCCAGGAAGTGGCAGGACTGGTGCTCACACTGAGGGTCCCAGACCCTGAGCCCACTGCTCTTCCCATCTACAGAGGAATTAAGTGCAAAGACCCCTTTGGAGGACTTTTCAGGCCTTGTGCTATGCCTGGAGAAGCTCAAGGGGCGGGTGGGAGTTTAGACATTTGCTCAAGAGGCTCAGAGAGGTAAAGTACTGGCCAGGGCCACACAGCTGCTCAGTTGCAGACGCTCCAAAGCCTGAGTGCTCCCCTCCCCAGTCCTGCACCACCCCCCTACCCCCTGAGTGCTCTGGGTTGACAAGCAGCAGCACAGCCCCGCACCTCACCCCCAGCTGCCAGCCAGGGGCTGGGGGAGGTCTCAGGCCTCCACTCACACGCCACAGCAGGAGCCGTCTGCTGATCTGCTCCAGGTACCAGAAGAGGACGTCCGCGTGGGAGACCCACCTCCTGGCGTCCGGATTGCAGGATGTTATCTGACATCCTCGCAGCACCTCAACCTGGCAATCCTGTCTGCTCTCGGAGAAAAGGAAAAAAAATAAAAATTGAAGGGTCTCAGGCCCTGAAGTGATGTCCCTGACATCTTTGCTGGTTTCGGCATCCCTTCAAACGGCCCTCTGGCGATTCGTACTTTCTGTTCCACATATTTTTTTATTCTGTGTGCTCCCTTCATGTTGGCATCTTCAGTCGCCCGTTCTGAGAATTCCCTGCTCCTGCCCAGGACTCCATGCGCCGTTCCCACCAGGCAGCTCAGCCTCCCTCCATCCTTCCTCTCCCCATCCCCCGATTCATAAACCCACATTTCTAGACCAATCCCTCTGCGCGCCCCCCAGTTTGTCCTGGGGTCTCCAGGGCTTTGCCTCTCAGACTTCCCAAACCACCGCCACCTCCGTCCTCCTCCCCCCAAACCTCTCCCTCCTCTGTTCAGTTTCGGAAAGTCCTGAAACAATTCAGCAGGTCCACACCCTAGAGCAACATGTTAGAAAAGATGGCGTCGTTTTGACTTTAAGTGAGGAGGCAATTAAGGAATCGTTCTTGCAAAGTTAGTCAAACACAGCAACTTGTTCTCTGGAAGGCACACGGTTGCGACACATATTTAATGTGTCTCCTTAATGGGAGCTCCAGGGCTCCCAAACAAAATTCATTCGGATGCACGGTGTTTTGGGATGCTGGCAGATTTATCCGGAACCACAGTACCACAACGACGAACAGAAAACTCTGCTCCGAGGAGAACGGCTGTGGAGGGCCACAGCCACCTGGGACAGGATGCTCTTGGCTGCGGCTGGCACTGCTGAGCTTCTGGCTCCGCGGCTCCCACCCCAGGCCCCCCTGGTGTCATAAGCGGTGACGAGTTCTTGTTCTCCTCTTATTGGTGTCACAGACCTCCTGAAATCGCTGATAAGCCTCCCTCGCATCTGGTCCAGCCTCTCTCTCCCCGCTGCAGCCTGGCACCGGCGGTGGGGGAGGGGGGCATGAGGCCATAAAGCCGCGTGTGGCCGCCTGACAGAGCTGCAATTCCAGGCATTGGCAAAATGGATTTATAGTCCCTGCTTATCTCTGGCTACAGGTTGTGCTTCCTCCCACGAGCCTGGGCCCAGGAATCAACGTCCCCTTCAGAGCATGGACACGGCCGAGGAATCCATCTCGAGAAGAAGCATCCCGACTGTCCCCAGTCCAACTCAGACCTGCGGGTCCCCCTTCCTCTAGCACTGCTGTTGTCTGACGTTCTGTGATTCCCAGAGCCCAGGGAGACAGACACAGGGACTCACGACACTTTGTGTTTCAAGACAACCGAGACGCATTCAGAACGAAACCCAGTTCTCCCATCTTGAGGATGACGAAGTGGAGCCTTTAGAAGGTGACGTAACTTACCCGAAAGCCCAGGGGTCCAGCAGAAACGGGCCTTGGACCAGCTCCTCTGCACTGAGGTCACGGGAGCTCCCCGCTCCCGCACCCTCGGACTCGCGACTGTGGAATAACCCTCATCCCTCATGGTTGCAGGTTTTCAAATATTGTTTCACAAAGTTCTTTTGTGACTTACGTTTTGGGAGTAAAATAGTTAAATTCTACCACTCATAGGCTGAGGGTCGGGGGAGAGGTGGGGTTGAGGACGCTTAATGGGAGCTCCAGGCTCCCAAGGAAACTACACAACTGGAGTTTGTTTTGACCTTGAAGTCAACCCAGCCTGTGAGTATTCCTCCAGCCAAGAAAAGCCAATAATGGGTTCTGCTCCCAAATCATGCAGGGGACCACAGGGGTGGCAAATAGGAGGGTACGTGTCCGGCCTTGGGAAGCCAGATGGGAGGCCTGCTGTGGGCAGAGGCAAAGGGATGCAGACACACAGCCGAGAGCAGTGAGGGAAAGCAATCTTCCTCCATCAGTGGAGGAACCTGGGTACAAACTGAGAATTCCCTGCAGTCACCAGCAAGGGGCCTGATTCCAGGAAGCCTTCCTGGAGTAGGGGGTCTAAGAAGAAGCCGGAAAGAGCAGCTGGAGTTGCCAGATGAAGAAAGGGGGGTCAGGGAGAGCGTCGGAGGAAAAAGCAGCTAGGGGCGTGGAGGCCTGATCCATCCCAGAGCGCCCGGAACTCTACCAGGTGGCTTAGCGCAGGACAGAGCACCACACGCAAGTCAGGAGGATACACTCTCCGGCCAGACGCCCGGGTTCAAGTCTTAATTCTGTCCCTTATAAGCAGCCCTTGGGCTCAGTCTCCACTTCTGTAAAATGGGGTTAATAA